CAGACTGTACAACCTTTCTGAGTGGTCTCATTGCTTGGTGGTTTTTGCAGCAGCTTCAGATTTGGCTTTGGCATCCTCAGCTCATTCCACAGGGTCTGGGAAAGTAAACGAAATTCCAACATTTAGCATTCTTCAAGCTGTAACACTCAATATCTTGTGTTTGATCTACCCTTCCCTAAGATCAGGGGGGTGTTGCTGAAATACAGCAGTTAAAAGGATCCAGGAGTGGCAGTAGAAAGAGTCAGGAGTAAAGGACGGAAGAGCCAAGAGGAGGCCTCGGGTTGGGAGAAGAAAGTGGAGATTTAAGCAGATGACAGTACACGACTAGAGAACAAGGAAAGAGGTGAAGGAAGAAAAGATTTGGTAGCAACACAACGGTATATTTCAAAGAAGACAAGCAGGTCAACCTTTTTGGTTTCTATTGCCTAACCCCCAACCCCCCCCCCTTCCCTAGGAAAAACAAAAACAAATGTGGCTCTTCCAAATTTGGTCTAATTGGCTGGTCTTGGAGGCTCATTTCTAAATTTGACCTTTCCAGCCCCATGCACGTATATTTTCAGCATCACTTGTACTTCCCACTGTCCCAAGGGTGCATATTCTGTTTCGGGGGGGCATCCAGTTTGTGCATTTTTCGAAATAGCAGAGAACCTAATTAAACTTCAATGTTTATAATATTTGTTCCATTACCTTTCAACATTGTTATATGATATTATCTAAACCTCATTACAAAGATACTACATCATTACTTTTTAGAATGCATGCCTCTTTTTCTGAAATACTGCTGTACTGGCTGGGACTGGGGTTAGCGAGTACACAAAAATGGCTGGGGCTGGAAGGGTTAAGAGGGTTGATCTATATCACAACTTGAGACAAAGCCATACAAACACGAGAAACACACCATTGGACTCACTTCTGTATTTGCAGCAGAGATTCCCATGATCACACTCTTGTTGGTGAGGTTCAGGTCGCGGCTCAATAAAATCACGTGGTCATCAGGGCCTGCGTTAAAAAAACCCAACAGCATGGGAATACATAACATGAAAGATATGATAAGATAAGAAACATCTTTATTATCCAGAACCTGGCACATCGGTTTGGTGTTTCACCACGTACACACATACACACACACACATACACAAATACACACACACATGCACACACATGCATATGCACGCACATGTGCACACTCATATACAAACACACTCTTCTCTCACACACTCTCCCTTCCACACACATCCGTGCACATAACCATGATAATACAATAGTATACTTGAACTCACCAACAGGCTCACAGTCACATGCATAATATAAATGAACAGTAATTATAAACATTAATAGTGTTAAGCTAGATACTTACTCAGCTTTTCTGATTGTAACTCAGTGGTATTCTGATATTGCATGCATTAAAGGTCATAGGAATACTTATAACAAGATGATTAAGATTGTAGAAGATCAGGAGCCTAGATCTTTTACTTCTGAATGATATTTTTATTTGAGAGAACAAGGGACTTTTATTGTTAGAGACTTAAAATCAACTTTGAAATTCTTTATCATATTCTTCTTTGGATTTCAGGTCTCAAGCAGACATTGATGACTGTCTCCTGTTGTCTGTCCTCCTGATCAGCTCAGGTTTTTTCACAGTGCTGTATGTCAAACATCCCATCTGTGTTTGTTACTCTCTGTATTCCTCTGCTCTTCTTTCCTTCTATCTTTTTCTATCATCTTTATCAAATTCTTTTAAAAAAGAAATAAGGAAGGAAAATATAGTAAAGACCTAACCCTAACGCTGACCCAACCCCTTCCCTACCCCCTACCTTTACCCCCAAACTCTAACCCTCTATTCCAGTCTGTTTTATAGTGGTCACTCGTTACAGAATTCCTCCCAGAAATAATGATTAACATGAGAGGTTCTTGGTAAATTCACACAGGGTCAATCACTTACACTTCTCCTTCCACTGCACGCAGCATTGCAGGATCCGGTCATCGTTAGAGGAAATGACCATATCCGTCTTCTGGTAGGCCTGGCAACAGTACGTAAGTAAGTAAATAAGTTTATTCAGTGTTTAATGCCATTGTCCTACGTCACATTACATAAAACACTCATTAAAGCATTGCAACAGGAACAGACATAAGACATGATCATACAGTTTCTCCACTTTAATCACAGAGCAGCTATCGGACATTCTAACTAAAGGAAATATAATATATAAATCACCCTGTCTAAGCTTTTATATAATCAAAACATAAAACA